CGCTGAAAAGTATTAGGGTTTTGGATTGTACCGACCCGTTTCATCTTAAATAGAGGTGTTTTTTCGACGTCCCGGAAACAACTTCAATTCCATTTTAATTAATAAGACTTCAACAAATGTTCTAATGTTGTGAACACGAATCTATTGTAATTAGAAAACAAGACATCAGAAATATTTTTCAGATTATTGTTGAGAAGGTCGGAACGAATTTAATGATATTACTATTATTTCTTTTTCAGTGGTTATGTTACCCTTATAACTTATACACAATTCTTCCATACAGGGTGTTCTAACGATCTGGCGACGAAAAATTCCGCAGTTTCCGTATAGTAATAAAAAAAATTATAGAATCTGATAGAAATTATTTAGGGCAACATTTTTTTTTTCAAATATGTACTCGTATAAGGGTTGTTTCGATTAAAAGAATAAATGAAAGTTGTTTTTTTGTAAACATAAAAATCTCTAGATGGTGTTCTAAAAATGACTTACGAACTCTATAATACAATTAAGTCCAGTCTAAGTTCGAGAAAAATCATTAAAACATTCCTTACGTCAATGTGAGGTTGACGTACAAAATCAAAATATCAATTTAGATAGTTTAAAAACGGCGAAAAATTACCCCATGTCGTCAGATTATTTTGAACAACTTTTGAGATTTTTGTATCATATAAAATGAATAAAACTATAGATAATCATGATACTTGGAAAATTATTTTGAGTAATGACAGTCCGATTGATTTGATGTACCCAACACTAAGTAGTGAAAAAATGATGTCAATTAAAGGCCTTTTGATGAAATGCGAAAAAATAGATCCCTTTTCTGTCTGTCTGTCTGGCTCACTGTCTGTCTAACTGCCCTCTGTCCGGATATTTATTAAACAGATATTCTCCGAAACTACTGGACCGATTGTTGTCAAATTTTATATGTATATTAGGAATATCGTGTAGATGGTAAAATGCTAATCGTAAAATTTGTTTCACTAAATATTATTTAAATTTTATTAAACTACTTACTCTTGTACCTGTGGTTTATGAATCCGTGTTGGGTTTTTACCCTAGACATCCAAATCTATGAAAAAAAAATCAAAACTCTATAACAACATTTTGAAATTTCACTTTGAAACTGCAAAACCGAATGCTCTGAAATCTTGCAAACGTTTAAAAGTTATCGTAAGTATGATTATCGTTAATCAAAATTTTTTCGTTTATGCCGCTACCCCAAAAAACGATAACGTCATTTTACAATTTTGCATAATAAATGTTTTTTAAATTTTATAGAATTACATACTCCTGGATATGTAATTTATGAATCCGTGTTGAGTCTTTACCCTAGACATCCAAATTTTTGGGAAAAAAATTCAAGAGTGTATAGTAACATTTTACAGTTTAACTTTGAAATCGCAAACCCGAATGCTCCAAAATCTTGCAAACATTTTAAGGTTAGTGTGAGCACGGTAAATCGTTAATCATTGAGGAGACAAAATAAGTTCAATTTCATTTTTTTTAACAACTGATGCATGCATCTGAACGTGCTAATAGTAGAATTTTTTCGCGAGTTACAAACCCAAACATTCGAAGTTTGTTGGAATTTGCATCCCGTGGTGCAGTATCTGTGGGGGTGTTATTTACGTCACTGGTTTTTACTTTATACAAGTTATCTATCACTAAATGAAAATTGCAAAATCAAACTTTATAATTTTTCAAAGAAGCGGGATTTGTCCGACTATACTTCAACGGCGAGGGAAGTTCTGTCGAAAGCCTTCAACCATTTTTTTTTGTTATCTTGCTTTGACAAATGTGTAGAAATCAATATAGGGTAATTAAATTAACAAAATGACAGTTTTCAAATTGAATCGTCCTGAAATAAGTGTAAAACTTGTTCAATTTTAATACACATTTTTTAAAAACGGGTGCCTTAGTATTGTACATAATTTTTAACTCTCGTCTTTAAAAATAATGGAGCTGTGAATTTTTAAATAATAATATCATTTTTCCTTATTAATCGAAACAACCGTCTATTTGATTTTTTGTTCATAATAATACTTTATATATAAAATAAAAAATATATAGGATGTTTCACTAAAAAAAATATGTCTTTGTTGTACGTTCTTTAAATCGAACACTTTGTTTACTTTAAAACATGTTGAGTTCTTAAACTCCGCCAAAGGATTTTTTCAGTACGTTATGAAATACGCGACATTCATCACCTAACCATTAGGACACCCTGTATATCAAGATTATAGAACCTTAGGGATATCTTATTTTTACTTTTCGAACGTAAGTGAAGGAAGTATTGTGATAGGGTCCATCGGCCGACTGGCTACTTTAATGTTTTTCGACGTTTCATGATCCCTAGGGTATGAAAAATTGGTTTCCGTATGTCTGTCGTGTGCCGTCGGCTGTCTGTCTGTCGTCTGTGTCGTTTTTTATTAAACATATAATCTCCCATGTGTATTCTAGGATCGTGTAGGCGGTAAAATGGTGACTAAGATTCGTGTAAATATCCCTACCAACAATTTGATGACGTCCGCTCATTATGTTGCGTGTTAAGGTTACCTAAATTGTGTGAAATATTCTTAATGTCTGAAATCCTGTACTCGTGTATTCCATAATTTTTATCTACAATAATTTTTGTGCAATATTTTCCACGTGTTCATCAAGTGCTTTATGGTCCAGAGAGTAAATTAAATGGCTGTAGATTCGAATCCCATCATTACGGAGTGCTTTTTTTCCAATGTGACTGGTATTTTATTTTTATTTTTTTACATTGAAGGGTTATCATAAAATAACTAAAATTTTGCAAAAACAAAATTTATTATTTTTCGAAAAAGCTGGATTTGTTTGATTGTATTTAAGAGACGAGGGAAATTCGATCTAATAACCTTATACCATTTTTTTTAATAAATCAATATTTTGCGGTGACTAAAAAATCCATAAAGCATCACAGAGATAGGTCAAAGAAAAGAAACGTAGAAATTTTAAGCAATAAATAAATAACAACTCTTCTTTTAAATCAAATAAGAATACGATTACGATTATAATCCACGCTGCACCATTTAGAACTCTTAAAGATATTTTTCCCACCACGTTCAAGCGACCAGTAAAATCCACGAACAAATAACTCGGAAAATTAAAATTACCACACCTCCGCGTTCTCTTCATCTCTAAGTAGATTACGTAGAATTCTTACCTAATAAAAATCCTCAGACGCCAACTGCCATACGCTTAGTTGAAAGTTTAATTATATCCGAATGTAATGTAATTAAATTTCTAATAAATTCGGACCCCGGCGCTCCGCATATTAAAGAGCCAAGAAGGATCATTGTTAGCTTAACGATGGGATTGTTGAACGTTAATACAAGTCAGAGGGAGTATGTTCATTCGTTCCAGAATCACGAATCGCCATAAAATAAAGGCACCAATTAACGCAGCTGCGTGCAAAGTGCGTGCGTGTGTCGAATGACGATTTCCACCAACTTCCACACCATTATTTACCGGTTCTTGTTTGCATCCGCAAAATATGACTGTGGCCAGTGGCGGCTCGTGCGCATAAACAAGAAAGTAAAAAATAGAGATGTTGTTTATTAGAACGTGAGAATAGGCTTACTGTATGTTGTATTAAGCTCAACAAATGAGTCAAAATCTTGTTAAAATTAATTGCCTCTATGTCATTTTTCCAGCTTGGTAGTTGAATGAATGAATGAATTTGCCGATTTCCCTCCAAAAATTAAAAATCGTGAACCCGTGAATGTTTACTCACGAACCGCCTCTGGCTCTCTGTTGTACCTTGTTGCATCCTTGATCATTGTTTGCGTTGTGGTTTTCGCTCGACTCGAATAGCGAAATCGGTAATTAATGTTGCTAAATATTACATTGCGGGCTTGAACAAACGCATTAAAAAGGCAATTCATTTTGTTTCTCCAAATGGTAACAGGTGTCGATTGTTGGTTGTAATTCAAGCATTGTGTGTTGGTGATAAATTGTTGCCCTTGCATGCTAGTCTAATCATTTGCTAGACAATACAGGTAAATTATGACAAAGGTGTTTTTATTAATGGCGGCGCAATTGTAATTACCCACTCCAAGATAATTACGGAGTGGTACTACGCCTACTGATTTAATGGCTTGAACTGAGAATTATTTTTAGCGGCGGTTTGTGGTAATTTTCTCCCTTTCTCGTAATACTTTAAGCAATTTTGGAACATTACTTTCAGAAGATTAATTACTAGGTGACTGTCTCGCATTCATATTTTAATTAATGCAATAATTATTAAAGTTTTGTAGTTCGTCTCGAATTAAGACACACATTTAGCATTTACAGCACTCGTGGTAGGGTAAAGTTTAGTGATGAATTGGTGTTTTATTTATTTGAAAGTCTAACCTATTTTTGTAAAAAATTTCAAAAAGTCCATAAAACCTAACTTTTGAATTATCTGCCACTATATCGTTATTTAGTGACTAAAGTTTATGACCTTTTACATAATTGTTGTAAAATATTGAGGTAAATGACTTGAAATTAACGCATCTTTATGAGAAAGACCAGAAAACAATAAACGCTCTTTGCTAATGCCTAGTTAGTTTTTACATTTGTCTCTTCTGAGAAATATTTAACTTTTTTTCTCGAAAATTTGACAAATTAGTGCTATTTTGTTCGCGTTGGTAGGTCTAACCACGAACACGACACTCACAATCCAGGAGCCTTAATTGCGTGTGATTAAAAGAGCAACGTCATTTGATAGAATGATAAACGATGAGTAATAAAAGTTGTAATCTTGACCGTTTTCTGTTTAATTTATATAGAATGCGGAGTACACTCTGTCGTGTAATATAAAACTATCTATTTTAGAGGATACTCGTTATTAAGTTTCCAAATTCCATTCTTAGTGTGGGAGAGGTTCGATTTCGTTCCCGATAACACATTTGTTTCGATCTTGAACTGCTGCGGAACATTTGTTTAATGGGTTATATTGTCATTATTTTAATTTGGTTTTTCTTTTTCAGTGATCGACAACTCCAGCGTACGTTCTTGACGAATTAAAAACTGAGATGGACGGTCCTTCCTTGGCTACGAGGTGACTGTGATTGTGATATTTTTGTGAACTTTGAGTATTCTAAATAGATTATATCCATTCGGACGGATGGATACGTTTCTAGTTAATTATTGTTGTTATTTATAATTTATGAAAATGGACTGAAACAGTTTGAAACGAATTTAACTGAGAAATTTATAAATTCGGTCTTGATATATCAATGTTCTTTACATACTGCTTCATGAGCTTATTATTAATAGGTGTTCTAAAAAAAATCTGATGTATAATATTTCATAGTTTGAAGAGCAGTGACAGTCGTTTGTTTTGTCGACCATTTAGTAATGTATTATTCACTTTAAACGGGTTTTACTTTATTTAATACGCCATTTGTTTGCCGCGTAATACAGAAAGGTTGTGATTTATGTATTTCCTACACAAGGACTTGTTATTAGTATTTTATAAACGGTATCCACAACGATATTGATAGACTTAAGTATCTTGATTGGACCAGCCAACATTTGATCGTTCCGTTTTGGTCAAACACCAATCAATATTCGAACCACCAAATATTAATGGTTATTTTTTATTATGGTATTGTGCCGCTGGAAACGAAACGATCACGTGACGGGCGTCCATGATTTACGATTCCTAACTTAATATATTGTAATATTATTGACTGTATATACTGTGTATAAATAATTTAAAAGTATATTTTGATCAGAAATCCCAAAGCACACTATGTAAATAGCATTATTATTTGCTTATTCGAGACGTAACTCAAATACAAATAAAATTATTTAATTTTAAACCCACGAGTTTTTGTTTTATTGATAAGTTGACAATTTCGGTTATTCCCTTTGACCTTTTTCGAGAAAATATTGGAAGCATATATGTTGTAGATTCTACAAAATTCATTTATACCAGAATTCATAAATTTACAACTGCATCACGTCTAAGGACAAAATATGAACAGCTTGCTTGTTTGACAAACCTCAATATAGGACATTTAATATAAAAAATTTTATAAAAAAGACAAGAATGTAATATCTCTGCGAGCAAACAATAAAATTGTCTAAAATCGGATGAGAAAAGTTACATTGCATGAAAACGTGCCAAGCGCGAAAAGAGAAAACATTAAAGAAAAAAATTTCGTTGGGTTGAAGGCGTTGTGTTAAAGCTGGAGGACAGGCGAATGTTCATTTAATAAATCATCTCGAACAGTTGGCTAAACTACTTCGAATTATTTCAAATTTATGGCTACGAAATATCGTGTGTATTGTAATCCTTGCTTTTATTACGTACATAGAAGTCGTACAATGGGGATGTTCAAATATTCTCTAGATTCCAAAATAGAATGCATTTTTAAAATATTTTCTTTTACTCCTTTTGTCAGGTATTGGAAGGCCAGCTTTGTTTAGCACTAGCTCATCAAACAGTGACCGATCGTGACTTGGAAACCCCGTCTGTAATTTCGTCTCAGCTGGTGATAGGTGTTGTTGCTAAACATATAATACTGCTTCCCAAAAATCAATAACTAATAAATTAAGAAAACAAGAGTTAATAAACAGAATTACATTTTTGTGCAATTTAACAAAATAATTTAGAAATAGTAAAAAAAACGGACATTACGAGAATCGCAATATGTAGCTTAATTCAGTAGTGGAAACATGGTGCAGCAAGTTAGTTGTAGGAATAAGACAGGATACATGGTAATATTGTGCAATATGCAGCATTTGCAATGCAACTGTCAGTATTTTAGAGGGAACTCATTAATTTAATAGTACGTTATAAAATCAGAACCAGTTGTAAACTCTGCAACGCTTGTATAATGTAGTGGTGATTGAAATACAGCTGGCACTATTCGAATTTATTAGCACTTCTGATTTAGTTTATTTAAATCTAGTGGAAAGTGTAAAAAGCTAATGTTAACAATGACTATAATTAATAACCAGTAATAAATTATTCAGTTATTGTTTTTAGTGTTCTGAGGTTTTCAAGTTGTTTACATCCTTCCACTGGTCTTTTTTGTTAACCGATATTAGAGAACAAGTATATTTTTTGGTTTTTTACATTAAGGCAGTATACAGAAAAATTCATATGCAACCAAGTTTCATCTGAAACAGGAAGTACACTATTACTGTTGCGAGGAAAAGTAAGTAAGTATTTCGAGTGACTAAATATAAAACATGGAAAACATTAAAAGCTGAGTTTCTACAAGGTTAATTAGTATGTGCGTGACATAAATAAAGCAAATTAAGTTACACGTACATTTCCCAAGAATTTCAGCCCGTCTCTGCACACGTATTTTTAAAATATCTGGTAAGTACTCATTTCAGTGTCAACGGGTAATAAATAACACAGAAAGACAGGAATTGCAATGGGTCATAGAAACGGTCCTTTGAGTGGCATAACTGACATTTAAAAGCATGAGATGTTATTGAAACAGGAAGGTGATGCTTTCAAGACAACAACAATAAGGTTACTTATATTCATAAATAAAATTTGAACACTATGCAGTAAAAATCATCATGTCCTTAAGTCGTATGGGTGAAAAAATTATATTGATCACTTTTTCACAAAACAACATGCATTTTCCTAAAATCCAATTTCTACTCACGAAATTGGTGTTAAATTATTACATTATAAATGATATGCTAACAGAACTATGCATATATGCACTCAGGAATAGGTTATATGGTGATAACATCTCGAAATTAGTAATTGCATGACATGCAGTGCTTAACTGTTTACCCAGAGCATCTATATAATTAACAGATCTAAATCTACTGTACACGTAAGTTTTCAAAGGTTTTACATTTCCATTCCTTTATCAAGTGATAGTGATTTATTGTGAATTTTAAGTCATGAACAACTTGATGACAGGTTACAGTGTTCATCAAAAATGTTGTTTTGTAGTTTAATCATTATCCGATATTTAAATCAATAGTCATTAAAAAGACACAATTTTGTCTGACTTTTACTATTTGAAGGTTGTTATTAGGGCATTCATTTCATTATCATTAGTTTTTGGTATGTTTAGGGAGTTCGTTGACGTGCGTTAAAAACATTAGGGTGAGGATTCATCACATTTTACCAGTGTATTTTCGCAAAATTAGCTAATCCTGTGATGTACAAAGAATAGACCTTTTTTAAGGAATGTGGAATCTACAGTATCAAAGGCACTGAATAAATCGAAAAAAATAAAAAACGACAAAACTCATTATTGTCAGATTTTTTATTAAGTTGTTGTCCAATTTCAAGTGGTCTGTTTCTGCAGAATAATTTTCTCAAAAGCAAAAATGGTTGATATAAAACAATTTATAACATAATATTTTATTACCACCAGTTAAATGTACATTGGTCAGGACGGGTCAGGTCAGGTCAGGCCAGGTCATATCAGGTCACACCATGTCACGTTACGTCATGTCACGTCCTTTTTAAACTTTAGTAAGCCATGTTTTTTCTTTTGTTGGTTACTATGACTGACGGACGTGATTTCTTTACTGTCACATCTCATATGTATCATTCATGCTTGTTAGTTTGCCCTTTTCAATTGACAGAAAAAGCGTGAATCTTATTTTAATCAAAAAATAAAATTTTAAAGACATTGATCGAACAATTACGTTCAAAATAACAAAAATAATTTAATAAATAAAATTTGCGAACAAGTAAAGCTGCTTGCAATTCCGATATACTACAGTCAAACTACTTGACTACAGCTACTTGACGTATTTGACAGAGCGATGACAGCTCAAGCTGAAAATCTCTAGGCAATCTCACAAGGTCGTTGATGCCATCTGACGCCACAAATTGATGCGCAGACGATTTTTAAATTGGTGCATCGGATGTCTATACCATGTTTCCTTCTACCATGATGTAACATTTATGTACGTCGAAGGAACTTGCGTTTACCAAAATTGTTCTTCCGTTCGTCGTTGGGTACATGTTTCAGATTTGAAAAGTATTTCCAGCAAATTCACAAGTGAAGGTTTAAGATTTACAATTTTGCACGCGGATTGTCATTTGGACTTTTTAGAAAGATGTAACTTTTTATTAAATTCGGAAAATAATGACAGAAATTAGCACAAAACGATGGACGGGACACTTTTTCAAAATTGCGTGGTTAATCAATCAGCTTATCCCTGCTTTCAACAGCTGCAACGAAAATGTGGGATTCTAATACCATATTATGAGGTAAAGTTGGACAAACTATTCACATTTTCTTTTTAGAACTGGTTGGAAAAAACAATTTTTGATAGACGAGACATTATAAGTAATTGGTCATGAAGTCCTTAGACCCTTAGATTATCCCCACTGTCTATATTGAAATTCATCCATAAATAAGGTCGAGAATTGATTACTTCAGGTCCTTTCCAAATGTAATCCAGAAATGTGGCGTAATTTTAGTAAACATTGTACCGAACTTAAGGCTGACTGGAAAAAACATGGGAAAGTTTTCTTTGGAGGAATTTGATTCAAAATCAGAATTAGAAAATGATGATGAGATTGGTACAATGATAAACTGGATGCTAAGTTTGAACAGTATAGGTAGAATTAAATTTATAAATAAGATTTACTTTTAGATAGTAGATGGTGAGGATGGTAATAAAAAGATTTTAGTTGCAGACCATCCATCAACAAAAATTTCCAAAATTATTCCATTTTAGAATATCTAGGAGAAAAATTAAACGTTCAGGGCTTATCTCTCTTCCATTTGGGCCAAAGGATTTTTTAAGTTATTTTATCTACAAAAGCTGACAAAAACTGCTTTTGAACAGATTTTCTCTGAAAAAGTAGTCGTGTAATTGACCAATGCAATAAAAATTTTATTTTTAATTTGATTCTTAGTTGAGCAGCGAGCGAGTGCACATTGTTAGCAACAGCTGAAGTTAAAGTCATAGTAAACAGTGATTTTCTAGGGTAACAAGTGCGTGATAGTAAAAACAGCACAAGAGAATATTTCGTAAAAGAAAAAAAAACGCGAGTACAACTGGCGAGACAAGAAAAACAGCAAGTTTATGTAGAATCAGAAAACGATTGAGAGTGATAAGATTGGTGACATTTTTGCGGCCTGGCCAAAAATAGGTGATAGTGAGGGAAGCGACAGCAGAGGCGTGTGCCGCACGAGAGAAAACGATTCGCCGCGCAAAGAGCCAGCAAAAACATTGAAAATGGAAGAAAGAGAACAAATAAAGCAAGGACAAGAGCCGTTGATGGAAATAATGAAGCAACTAATGGAAGAAATGATACAACTGAGAGAAGAAAATAGAGGGGTAAAAAAATAATTACAGACAATAAATGGAATACTGGAAAGAGAAAGAGAAGAATGGAAAGAAGAAGAATTTAGAGAAGAAGTTGGTAAAAAAGAGAGGCAAGAAAGAAGAAACAATTTCATAATTACGGGTATGGAAATAAGGGAAAAAACAGTTGCAAAAGAAATTGAGGTAGAAGTAAAAGTGTTGGAAACAATAATTATAGGGAAAGAGGAAAGCAAGAAAATACTGGTTAAGACGCTTTGGGAGGAAAAACAAGAGGTGATGAAGAATAAAAATAAATTGAGAGGAAAGAATAAATATTGATAATGATTGGACAGTACAAGAGTAAAAAATTCAAAAAGGAATTAGGGAGGTAGCTAAAGAGGAAAGAAAAAAAGGGTACACAACAAGGGTGGGATATAAGAAGCTGGAAGTAGGGAACAAAATGTATACATGGAATGAAAATAAAGGAAAATTGGAAGAAAAATTTCTCAAATCAAGTCAGCACTAACCGAAGAAAGAAACACAAAGGGGAGGGGTAGTAATGATAGGACCAATAA